ACTACGTAGTGGCGCCGGATTTTGATTTCTTTGCTGTGAAAATACTACACACAAAGGGGAAAACGACACAAGGGTAAAAAAGACAAGGAAAACTTATCTACCAGCTATCATGTCGGATGCCGAGCAGCGGCAACAACCCAAGCTATAAATCCGGACAGGAAAAAAAGCAGGCGATCCAGCAGAGCTCGCTAGATTTCATCTCCACTCGAGGCGGAGAGAAATTAAGAGTGATGGACGGCTGCCTATGGCGTTGCCATGTGGCCTCGGTCACGTGGGTTCGTGACGTAAGGGGTAAAAGAATCTTGAGGTCATGGGGCTTCCCGTGACCTAGATTCTATCTCTCTGTCACCGGCAGAATCGCTGATTAATGCCTACAGTTCAAAATAGTCATTTTGACTGACCGGAGTCTATGGTGGGTAATTGAACGTAGTGAATAACATGGTTCTATATTATGTAAATATATTATGTACATTTCATGGCCTGTTGAACCCACCCTGTTTTCTGTCTTGCTCCATCTCAGCCATTTTCTTTTTTTTCCATTCATCAAATGGTGGCATATCATCCTCCTCAGCAGGTGGTTTAGGTTCTTCAGTAGGCTCTTTCTCAGTTGATTGAACTTCACCATCTTGCTTCAGTACATCTCTATTAAGTGCAAAGCAGGGTCACTGTCACAGCGCCACCATACAGCCATTTTGAAAAATCTTTTCTTTTTTTCAAATATTATATACTGTTCATGCAACTGTACTTTTGACTTTAAAGTTATCGAGAGTACACTTTGCTCTCTGATTCATGCAGTAGCCTCCCTGCTAGGATGTAATTTTATACAATATATAACATTGTCTAAAAGAGTGGAAGATACAAGTTGTACTGAAGAGGTCAGGAGAATAGTTTGAGCTTAGGGGTATACTCGAGAGTCGAGCAGTGTAAGACGATGAGAGGTAGTGGTGGTTAACGGTGTAATTGGGCAATGAGAGTGTAAGTGGGAAACGAGGGGTGGTGGTGGTTAACGGTGTAATTGGACAATGAGAGTGTGAGTGGGAAACGAGAGGCAGTGGTGGTTAAAGGGTGTAAGTGGGAAATGATAGGTGGCAGTGGTTAAGGGTGTAAGTGGGAAACGAGAGGTGGTAGTGGTTAACGGTGTAAGTGGGAAACAAGAGGTGGCAGTGGTTAAGGGTGTAAGTGGGAAACGAGAGGTGGCAGTGGTTAAGGGTGTAAGTGGGGAAGTG